ATTCGAGTTCATTCCTCAGGAAAGGACCTGAATATCTCTCAAAAAGTATCAAAGAACTAAAACTCACCAGCTCATGGCATGCAGACAATGAAATGCCAGACCCCTCATTTTGTTTCCTTACCCTTCTCTAGTTCCTGTTTTCCAACACATTGTCATATTTATTCCCTGCTATATTAAACCCATACCTAACTTTAGTGAGTCAGGGAGATGGATTTGACACTGACCTCCCATCTCTTCCACTCCAGCACCTGGTTAAAGCCTTCTTCCTTGGCAATAATTGTTGTCTTGGTGATTGGCTTTCTGTGCAGTGAGTAGCAGGTTGGACACTGGGTCAGACACTGGGTCTGTTGTGTTTTGGTAACAGTATGAGCCAGTGCAGGAGAAAGTCAGTTTGTGCTATGCCATCTAGTTTCCCTCAAGCAAGGCTTTGCCAGACAACTCAGAACCATGAGGCTTTCTCTTCCTGACCCCTGTCCTCCATCCATCCAGGTCTCTCCCACTCCTCTTCTGTATTAGCATATCTATGGAGGTTTCCTAAACACTGAGTATGGGCATTGTGAGCTGTTCAAAAGTCCTACCGAGGTATTATATATGAAGTATCATATATGATGTTATAATATGAGGTATTATACATAATTTCCCCCTTATTCTCTCTTTTCTAAATTACATTTTGAGTAAGGTACATGCCATTCATGTTAAACTACTAAAATGATCAGGCATAATGGCTCATGCCTAGAATCTCAAAAGTCTGTGAAGCTGAGGTGGGAGGGTTGCTTAAACCTAGAACCTCAAGACCAGTCTGAGAACAAAGTAAGACTCAATTTCTACAAAAAATAATAATTAAAAAAAAATTACACTAGGGTAGTGGCAAATATTTGTAGTCCCTGTTACTTGGGAGGCTGAGGTGGGAGGATCATTTTCATCTGGGAGTTTGAGGCTGCAGTAATCTCTGATCATGCCACTGCACTCCAGCCTGGGTGACAGAGTAAGATGTCATCTCAAATAATAATTTAAAATAAATAAATAAAATGACCAGTTTTTAATATATCACATACTTCCAGTAGTCATCCCAGCATGTGACATATGGCAAATTTTGGGTATATTTTAAAAGCATACTATGTATATACTAAGTATAATATTTTGGGTATATTTTAAAAGTATACTATGTATCTGTGTGTGTGTGTGTGTGTCTGTGTGTGTGTGTGTACATGGCCATCTCTCAGTATCTAGAGGGGATTGCTTCCAGAACCACCCATTAATACTAAAATCTACAGATGCTCAAATTCCTGATAGAAGATGGTGTAGTATTTGTGTATGACTTACTGACCTTCTCCCTAGTGTGGTGTGTGTGTGTGTGTGTGTGTGTGTGCACGCGCGCGCGCGCGCGTATGTATTTTTTTTTTCAGACAGAGTCTTGCTCTGTTGCCAGGCACCAGGCTGGAGTGCAGTGGTGCAATCTCAGCTCACAGCAACCTATGCCTCCCGGGTTCAAGCAATTCTCCTGCCTCAGCCTCCTGAGTAGCTGGGACTAGAGGTGCACACCACCATGCCCAGATAAGTTTTTTATTTTTTAGTAGAGACGGGGTTTCACCATGGTGGCCAGGATGGTCTTGGTATCTTGACCGCATGATCCACCTGCCTCGACCTCCCAAAGTGCTGAGATTACAGGCGTGAGCCACTGCACCCAGCCCTCCTAGTATATTTAAAATCATTTCTAGATTACATGTAACACCACATACAATATAAATATCATGTAAATAGTTGTTGTACTGTAGTTTTTACTTGTATTCGTGACAGTGTTGTTATTTTTAACTTTTTTCCCCCAACAGATTTGATCTAAGATGGGTTGAATTCAGATGTAAAATCCATAGACAGGGAAGGCTGACTATATGTATAGGTACAGTCATGTATCACTTAATGAGGTGGATACTTTCTGAGAAACATGACCTTAGATGAGTTTCTCACTGTGTGAAGATCATAGAGTGTAGTTTCACAAACCCAGAAGGTATAGCATACTAAATATCTAGGCTGTGAGGTATATCCTATTGTTTCAAGGCTGCAAATCTGTACAGGATGTTACTGTGCTAAATCCTGTAGAGCAATTATAACATCATGGTACTTGTGTATCTAAATTTATCTACACATAAAAGAGGTACAGGAACAACACAGTATAATGTTATGGGACCATTATTGTGTAAGCTGTCATTGACTAAAATGTCATTATGCAGTGCAGGACAGTGTACATCCTGCAGTGAAACTGATCTTAACATTGAGAAGTGTACAGGTCATTCTGGCCACACTTTCCTAGATTTCACCCAAATAGACTATGCCTTCAGAAGGGAAACCTGATACTAATGGAATGTGATGCTTTTTTTTTTTTTTTTTTTTTTTTTTGACATGGAGTCTCTCACTGTCACATGGGCTGGAGTGCAGTGGCACAAACTCAGATCACTGCAACCTCCACCTCCCAGGTTCAAGTAATTCTCCTGCCTCAGCCTCCTGAGTGGTTGGGATTACAGGCATGCACCACTATGCCCAGGTAATTTTTTTTTTTTTTTGTATTTTTAATAGAGACTGGATTTCACTATGTTGGCCAGGCTGGTCTCGAACTCCTGAGCTCATGATCTTCCCTCCTTAGTCTCCCAAAGTTCTGAGATTACAGATGTGAGCCACCCTGCCCAGCCACTGTTTTTTAAATTACCCCTTTCCATTAAGTTTCAAAAGGACATTTTTCCTAGACTAGGCCATTAATAGCAATGCCCCATCATGGAGAGAAGAACATACTGAACCTGAGCTTCCACAGTCTAAGGCAACCTGCTCCTCAGGCCCCTCAAGCATGCTCTTACCACTGTGTGGGTAGAGAGCTGTGGTTGCTGAAAGCCTCTGTCCCACTGAGACAAAACTGCATTATCTGTTAAATTTCTAATATGTAGAGTACACTTTATAAGACAGATCCACAGCAGGTAAAAAAGCTGGCTTTTACTTTGATACATGGAGATGCATTAGAGAAATCTATCAGGGAAGTATGAAGTTGCTCAGAGTCACAGAGATTCTGATGAAGGGTTACAGAATTGAAGCAATATGGTAGGTGCTGGCTCTTTAATGCACCAAAAAAATTACACTTTCATTAAGGCCCCTACCAAGCTTCCCGCACTTTCAGTTACATCCCTGTAACTAGGGACTTCACCCAAATCTGGCAGCTTGGTTTTCAGACTTCAGGCTGTCTTGTGGCTTGAGGGTTGGGTTTCACCAGAGACTTGTCTCTATCTGCCTAGGAATTTGTCTGTTGTCTACCACTATCACAATTAATTTTTCAAATTAATAGGTACAAATCTATTTGTACCTCTATCCCATAGAGGAGTTCCTTGAATACCAGCATGACTGGGCAGCTGGGCTACCAAGGGTCTAAAACAGGCGTCCCCAAACTACGGCCCTCGGGCCACATGCGGCCCCCTGAGGCCATTTATCCGCCCTCACCCCCACCCCCCGCAATTTAGGAAGGGGCACCTCTTTCGTTGGTGGTCAGTGAGAGGAGCACAGTATATGGTGGCCCTCCAACGGTCTGAGGAACAGTGAACTTGCTCCCTGTGTAAAAAGTTTGGGGACACCTGGTCTAAAATCATAGATGCGAAACTCCTCATAAATCCGATACGTATTTGTTCTTTCTACCTAGGGCCTGCACCTTCCCCATTTAGAGCCTATAAAAATCCCGGCCTCCGTGACACATTGGGTCTACCCGCTTTCTGGCTGGGACTACCCACTTTGGGTCCCCTCTCCACTGAGAGCTGTTCTGTCACTCAATACAACTTCTCTGCCTTGATCACTCTCCAGTTGTCCGTATAACCTCATTCTTCCTGGACGCCGGACAAACACCTGGGACCCACCGAACAGCGAGTGAGAAAGGAGCGTAACATTATAGCCTTCCTGTCCTCTGCTGACATCAGGCGGCTGCCCCACACCATAGGAAATGGCAGTGGGGCCAGGCCTGCCTATGAGCCGCGGGCTGGAGCAGAGCAGTGGGATAGAAACACGAGCTGAAACCCACCCCCACTCCATTTGCTGCTCTGTGGGTGGTGGGAAGGAGAGAAGGGCTGTGACCCTTCTGGGGGTCCAGACCTCATGGCTCCCCAAGCCAGGGCTGTGCCATGCTGTAACACCCCCTTTGGGGTTCCCTGGTTGCTGGTGTTTCCGAGTTTTTAGAGCACCACCGCATTGCCCTCACCCAGACACCAGCACCCAAGGCGGAAGCCCCAGGCTGTACAAGTGGTTCAGCCACAGCCTTGCACAGAGCCAGTGTCTGGAGCTGACCACCCCACCATAGCAGCTGGTGCACCTGGCTTACCCTTGGGGGGCATGATATATGGACCAGTAGTGTGAGCTGAGTGCAGCCTGATGGACCAAGAGGGCAGAGCAAGCCCAGAGGGCACAAGCAAAACTCGAGCAGAGGCACTGCCAGCTGTGGAGGTCTCTAGATGGCAAAGAGGCACTGACAAAAATCCTGTATCATTGCCACACTCTCTATGTGTGAAGGCATACAGTATGAATCCCAAAGATAAGGGTGTACACGAGTGTGGGTATGCATGCCTGTGCTGCTGTTGAGCTGCAGGACCACCATGGAAAGGAAGTTAGTAAAAGAATGTTGCCCTGGTAATGGGCCTCATTCTGCAGACCCGGAGGGTGTGCTGATCCCTTCTGCAAAGAGACTTCCACTCTCTTTTATTCCAATAAACTCACCGGTCAGTGAGACGGTAGAAACCAAAATGCATACACAACCTATTGTACAGGTTAGCAAAAGAATCTGGCTAAAAGGAGTCTATAAAGACGGTAAGGCTCTGACCTGCCTGGAGATAAAGCCCAATGCATCCCTACAACAGAAGAAAGAGAAAGTAAGGAGTGCACAATACCAGGAACCTTCCTATCAGGAAACAGTGGGAGGGAGAGAAGTAGGAGGCATCATGATTAAATAACAGGGTAATTATTAGCTCCATTTATCCACATACCTCCAAAGTGAGCTCTCGGTGATGCTCCCCAGGTTATAGTCATAGAGCTTTGTCAAAATGAGAATCACCTGAAGGCAAAAGAAGAAATCATGGTTAGTCTCAAATAATTACAATCTCTTAGAACTGAAATGGCCCAAGGGAGGGCTTAGGATTCCTTTAATGGGCGCTTAACATAATTGAATGAATTGTTACAGCATTTGCTGCACTGACTAGAGAAGGGTTGGCATGCCTTTCTGCCTTTCACTGAACTGCTTAGGTCTGTCCTCTCCCCACCTTTCTCCCTGTCAGCCTGCAGCAAGGGTTACCTGCTCCTCCAGGCATTTCCCTAGTGAGTTCAATGTTTTTAGGGAAGGCTGGAAGAGTTGCCAAACACGCACACCACTCAGGTACTCACTGAGCAGGCCTGGGAGAGGGGAAGATCAGTGATTCGTTTCCAGTCCTAGCAGCTGGGCGCATTGAGCGGGTTACTCAATGTGCCCAACTACTGTCTTTTTGGGAGATAGCGATACTCTTAATAGTTTCTTTGAAAGCCAGAAATACTAACATTCTTTCAAAAAATTCTTTGAATTCTTTTTGGGATACAGCATTTCTTTCTTCTCCCCCACACCCACCCCTACAGGGTTCAAGAGATTGCCCTGCCTCAGCCTCCTGAGTAGCTGGGACTACAGGCATGCACCACCATACCTGGCTAATTTTTTGTATTTTAGTAGAGATGGGGTTTTACCAAGCTGGCCAGAATGGTCTCAATCTCCTGACCTCATGATCCACCTGCCTCAGTCTCCCAAAGTGCTGGGATTAACAGGCGTGAGCCACTGCACCCAGATGGGAAATAATATTTCTTTTTGGGAAATAGCATCAACATTTAATGCTATTAATGCAAAGAAATCTTTGAAAGAATGTCAGTATGCCCATTAAACAGAAGCCACATTGGCAGGCCTAATCAACAGCATTTTAACAGGAGCAAATCTAGGTTTCATGGCGTCCAGGTAATTACCGTGTATTCTGTTTCTTACAGAACCCTCCATAAAATCAAAAATTAGGAACAGGTCTCAGGAAAGCAGCTGTAGAATTGTGGAATGCTAAATTTAAGCTATATTTGCTTCACAGCAAATCCTCCTCTGAAATTGAAAGCAGCACTATTTTCAACTTTACCCAGAAGAGCCTAAACTATGTATTTCATCCTTTCAGAATTCAACACACATTTATTAAACACTCATTAGGACCCCAGGATTTTGCCCGATGCCAGAAGAGAACACAAAGAAATACAGATTCAATCTATGAGTCCGTGATCCGGTTGGGACAGAAGCACTCATCAAAGAAAAGGGAAGTTGATAAAGAGCTCTACACCCTTTTTCAGTCACATCAAAACTCTTCCCATCACAGCTGCTCCAGAAGACAGCTTCTTTTGGCGTCTGCAGCAAAGAACCAGAGTCCACTTGGTTATTTGAAATACAGGAGGCCTGACCGGGCGCAGCGGCTCACACCTGTAATCCCAGCACTTTGGGAAGCCAATGTGGGCAGATTGCCTGAGCTCATGAGTTCGAGACCAGCCTGGGGAACATGGTGAAACCGAATATTTACTAAAAATTAAAAATTAAAAAAAAAAATTGGCCAGGCATGGCAGCGTGCACCTACAGTCCCAGCTACTGGGGAGACTGAGACAGGAGAATTGCTTGAATTCAGGAGGCAGAGGCTGCAGTGAGCTGGGATCACGCCACTGCATTTCAGCCTGGGCAACAGTGAGACTCCCTTCAAAAAAAAAGAAAAAGAAAAAAAGAAATACAGGAGCCTAAGGACACGTGGGGAAGATTCCACAGAGCAGTGGGTTCCCTAACCACTGATTTCTCCACCTTTTCCTTGATCTTCTTATGTAAGGGAAAATCATAATGAGTTTGCTCAGTTTTCTGTCAAAGTTCATATTTTCCTCCTGGTACTCATAACCTAGAACATTTGGCCCAACCCAGCTATTTCCAACGCAGCAGAAAAAATAGTTGACATTGATTTCCTGGATCCTTCTCTGAAGGCCAAGGGATCAGTTCTAGCTACAGTGAGCAGAGCACATTCCAACCTCAAATTCCAGGGTTGCAAGCTGCTGAGGAATGCTGAATCCTTCCAAGCTCCACTCTGATAGCACAGCATTTGATTTACCGAAAGCACAAGCATCAGTGAACACATTCTTAACTTGTTTTAATTTCACAGCCAGCAAACTGGAACTCCCTGACCTTAGGTTTGTTCTGAGTTCAAGGAAGAAAAAAACTACAGTAACTTACAAACAGGCAGAGATCCCCGAGTACCTGCCCTCTAAAGCCACCCCTCTCCTGATCTACAGCACAGCTTCCTTCCTTCCTTCCAGGTCCTCTTCAAAACTTGCTTCTTTAGCAAAAGGTGAGCATGTGCGAGGTGTGGGGCACCCTACAGGCACATCAGATGGCATGCCTGTGGTGGGGGCATATGCTCAACAGATCCATGTGCCAATTAAGTGGCTCTCAGTGCTAAATTTCAATCACCGCCCTCCCAGGAACGCTGATCAGTGGCAGCAGGGTAGCTGTTGGTTTGAAGATACAGGATGGTGATGCTGCTCCACTTCAGTACAATTTTGCCGAATAGGCCTATAAATCCCCCACCAAGAAAACAGGGGTGTGGGCATAAAGCATTTCTAGGTAGTTGCTCTCCTGATACAATACAGAGTAAACTAAATAATGAAGTTCAGCTGGTCGCAGGTGGTGTCTCCCATTCAGCTGATGAGGGAATTCAAAGGCAGCGCGGAGGAGGAAGCCTTTAACCCAGCATGTAGTGGTATGGAGCCGTGCACGCACATACACACGCGCGCGCGCACACACACACACACACACACACACACGCACACACACGCACACACAGAGCAATCTTGGGGCAGACAGGCAGGGAGGTAGAAGTCGCTCCCTGCCTCTTCTTGCAGGGCTAGTAAAACTGAAATGCCAGTGATACACTCAGGCAGTTTATCAATACTGCACCAGAAGAGGCGTCCTTTCTGGCATTTGAAAGCACATCTGCTTGAATCAATCTATTTAATCTTTCTGTTTTCAGAACGAGAGCAAGAAAGAAGGGAGAACTGCTAACCTTTAGTTATGTTTTCAATCGATTGCTTGAGATTTTTCTTTTTTCCCTGTACTGCCTATGTGCATTCTTTACTATCTTATTCCTGAACAATGATGCATCCTTATGTTAGCTATGTTTTGTTCTTTGTTTGCTTCTGTGTTCCGGGAATACTGTTTAACAAATCAGTTTCTGTGAAGGGAGCCAGAGAGAAAATCACTACATTCAAATGAGAAAATGTGAAAAATGCAATTGCCTCCCTATTCTGGTCTTATTCTGTTGTTCTTTGTGTATTTTTCAAACGTAAAAAGGAACAAAATGGAGCTGTTTTGTTTGCTTTCATCTTTGTTTTGAGATGAGGGTCTCCCTCTATCACTCAGTCTCGTCTCAACTCCTGGGCTCAAGGGATTCTCCCACTTTAAACTTCCTAGCAGCTGGGAGTAAGGCTCAGGACGCCACATCCAGCATTTAGTGGAACTTTTTAATTAAGTGAAATGTTGTGTGTGTTTAAATAATATACAAATAATTTATTTTTATTCATTCAGCATACAACTTTCATGTATAGAAAACTGTGAGTTCAAGTGTACAGCATTTAATTATAAGTTCAATCAAAAAGCAAGGCTGTTTTGATGAACACATATACCTCCACACCAAGTGGCATATCCATCAGCATTCCATTTATTTCTGTATCTTGTTTTCGTTATATAGTGTTCAAACATCCCTGATTCAAAACAAGTGGTCACCATATGGTACTAGCTCTTTGAGGTACCTCTCTAAATCCTAGGATATCTTTAAATAGCTATGACCCAAATTATCTAAGACTTGATACCTCCACCTATGGTGTACCAGGACCTCAGCATCCAGTTCTTTCTGGGACTTTCCACAGTGACATGTTTCAAATATCCCTGTCACCTGTCTAGGACTTGCTTTCACATGACTTCTGCACTTCTTCCTTCACTGGGACTCCTTCTTGCCACATCTGTTGCTTACAACATTTTTGGGAGGAACTTCACTTGGTCCATACTTACAGAGAGGATGCTGGTGCCCACTCACCAAGCTGCTGTTCTCAAATCACCCATTCCTTGAAGGGTGCTAGAAATAGTGCCAGGTTAGGTTCTGTGCAGAATGGGAGAAGGTCTCCAAAGAATTTGCAAGGGCTTCTTTTCCCACAGCACTGAACCAAATTTTCATAACCCAGGCTCTCAAACTATCACCCCTTTGCTTAGGCCCTTCCAAAGCTCCTACTGAATAATTCCGTCAACGCTAGCCCTCACTCGCGCTGGACAGGGAGTTGAGAAAATATCACAAAGGACTCTCTGAGAGGAAAATGTCAATTCATTCCTCCCTTCTAGCCCCAATCTCTTTCTGCACTGGGTAACAGAACAAAAACATTCACAAACAGAGGATGACTAATAAGAGTGTTCCACCGTAAATTACCAAAAGTCAGTGCAAAATATTCTGTTTTATCAAAATGATAGGGCAAGAAGCCTTATTTACAGGTATGCATTGAAATGAATTAACCTGCCAGCAGCATAAGACAGTCAGTCTGTACTAGGCTAGTTATCAGTCATGTAACACCTTTGACTATGACAGCATCGTTTTTATTATAAAATATAATTTAGAAATGAAACCCCAAACATTTAAGGAAACTGAGAACACCTTCCTGGTAATCTGGTTCTACACACAGCACACTTTTGAAAATCTGTGTATTAACTAAGTACTAGATTATAGAGAACCAAAATTTCTCTAAGTTTTCTAAATAGAGGTATAGGAATTTCCATTTCTTTGCTTAAAAACAAAATCACAGCGTCTTTCTCCTTTTCTTTACCAAAGAATTCACCCCACAGGAAGTGGGATGGAAGTAAGGCAGGAGACTAGAGGAACTTATTTCCTGGTCCTGGAAGGATGAAATGAAGAAGCCTGCAGAACTAGCAGATGGTACCAACAGCAATCTCTACTTGCCCTCACTGCTCCTCAGCATGAGACCTCACCA